CATTGCATGCAGTCTACTACATTAAGAACAATCGTTTGTGCTCAGTAGATGATTGTTCAAGTCTGCCAATAATTTCTTCTGCATTCATTTCTTCTAACAATTCCTTTTCAATGGTTAGCAACATGTTTGAGTCCAAACTCTCCTCAGTCAGCGAGTTTCTTAACGTTATCTTTATGGTTTTCAACTTGAAAAAATGTCCTTTCATATTGGACGAGAGTAACTGATAATGTACATATAATTATATAAAGTATGGGAACCAGTAATAAGGAGTGCCAGAGAAAAGCGATAATAACAACAAAAATTGCAATATGAGCTCTGGTAAAAACATGCAATGATAACAGCAAAAATTTCAATATGAGCACTGGTAAAAAATGGCTGCTGAAGACATTAAGTTTATAATAACCAGAAATTCATACACAGATGTCCTCGAGGACACATGGCACAGTGGATAAGGTTAGTTAGATCCAGTGACAGGACCCAAAGAGTGTGAGTTCAATACCTGTTTAAGGCAGTGGAGAACTTTCAAAGAGAAAATTAATAGGAGATAGCTAATAATTGATAACTGACATCCATTTAGACGTGGAACTAGAATAATCTACCCCAGTGAGCGAAATAAAGGGTTTAGCTCGACGTTCCAAGCACCAGAAGAAGGCCGAAATGTTGTAATAAATATGGCGACAAAGATGAGGATAATAGTTCGAATAATGTACATAATACCTCATCTCAGAAATATAGACAGATACTTATTACTTTTTATTACTAAATCAGCCATCAGTGTTTGCTTCTTTATTGTACTTTTGTTTGATATAGGGGATCCACTCTATCAGGGTCTTACTTGCTATCGGGCAAGCTGACACCCTGATCAGTCCGCTATTGGTTTGAATAAAGATGAATAATTAAAGTTGAGATTCACAGGAAATATTCGTCAGATATCTTAAAACTTTACCACCATGGGTTGGTCAATACCAGTTTTATTGAGAAAACATTGACTTGCATAACGGAATTAAACAGTGTGCATATATGAGCGTGCATGCTTCGATGCAAAAGTCGCAATAGAAAATGGATTTAGTGATAGTCGAGTTTGATGAGTTGTACTTAATTCAGAATATGTTATTGACACATTTTATATTTTAAATTCTCTAATGGGCAAGATGTACACATGCGCACAGACGAATCGGTATGCATCTTTCCTTTACCCAGATCTCCGCATAAAACTGTATTTTGTGTGTGATAAGAATTTATGAGTGTGCATAGTTTATCTATTTTGATGGATGTACGTTTACAAGGGAAATAATCCAGTGGTCGTAAATAAAAAGAACAGGCGAAAAAGCAAAGATGAAAAACGAAATGTGAACAAAGAATCGAAAAAAAAGAGTAAAAAATGGCCGCTTCATACTGACATGGCGCATTCACTCTTTTCCATTTAAATGATCTCTTAAAGATAAAACTATCCCCCAAATTGATAAGACATTTGAATATTACTTCAACAAATCACGTGGATACCTGATACATATACGTCGGTGTATCAACAAATATGTAGTTTAGTGCTCAAATGAAAACATTTATTTTACACGAGACAGTTTCTCTTTAAATATCATCTCCTATTTGCAGTGGACATGATCCATTACTTGCGTAGATATAATATTATACAGGGAAATGTTCATATCTAATTTCAGCAAATAACTACACACCAGGCAACAGACTTATTGATAAACCTCGTACTTATATGAATAGAGAACACTAACGCCCACCAAAATAAAGCTAGCTAGGTATATAGATATAGATAGAAATGTATACGAGCATAGATATATTGAGATACACAAGATAAATATCAACAAGAAATGATAGAGACATGCAGAATTAAATAAATCGATAGATATATAGATTTAGTATTTGCTATGTTTATCAAAGAAGAGTGACCAATATCGAATAAAGAGTGTTTATAGATATAGACACTGTATGTATGAATCAACACCAGATAGTGTACATAGGAACGAACAGGAAGGCGATCTCTGCGTTCGGCACCATTAGGAAGTCTCTGAGAATAATGCCCCACGTGTCCACACGTCTTGTGAGTGAAATTGGGTAGGTGAAAACTGTTCAGAAACCGCCGATGGTTGTGTGACCGTTAACTCACGAATCATCATGAGCGAGGGTTGGAATGTACTGACCATGTTCAACTACTGATCACGCCATTGTACATGCTCTCAAACAGAAACTGTAGTTAAGGTCCATGCAGCATAGCTGTAGTATAAGCCACAGGTCGACTGTTGGTGTTGAAAAAAATCAGCCTCAGAAGGCATCGGCAAAAGGGATTAAGTAGCCCCCAACACCTAATTGACTTCATAGCTTTCTGAAACTGAAGGAGGTCGACAATATATATATATATATATATATATATATATATAAATCCAAATCCGCTACTCAGAGTTTCATGCAATGCCAATCATCAAACAGAACTCACTAGTGTGTATATATATATATATATATATATATATATATATATATATATATATATATATATATAACCGAATGGGTAAATATATATAGGTATACAAGTGAGCGGTTGTATACAAATACATATAAATACTCTATAGTGTAAGAAAAACCAGTGCTCAATGTTAAATAACAGAGCTATTTAGTATATATAGATGTATTAAGAAATATACATAATATCTTACATTAATTAAAAATATAAATAAAAAAAATTATAATAATTCCAGCACTTGAAAATTGCTTCGGCATGAAACTCTGAGTTGCGCAATTAATGTAAGATATTATGTATATTTCTTTATATATATATATATATATATATATATATATATATATATATATATATATATATATATTGTAAACAATCCTCTGTGTGTGTTCATGACTACAAGGAATGAATATATATTTCTGTTGAATACTTTATACTAAGTCGAAACACGCATATACATTATGTGCGTGTTCATTGATGTAGATGTGTATCATAAGTACTTGTCTGTCCATAAAAAAATTACTACAGGCATTAGATTATATGACTATATATGTTTAAATATGTTTAAATATAGTCTGTACTTTCTCCTTGAATATCTCGACTGCAAGCTAAATTCTTATTATTTCATAAATTAACGCCTAAAAAGATAAAAAGTCGAAACTAAATTAAATAACGGCGTCACTTTTAAGTCAAATTTTGCTATGATTTATCTTATTCCGCAGATCTGTCCTTGTTTAAAGTGGATACTTGAAATTTATAGAAAAAAACGTTTTCTCTTTCTTAGGAAATTCGATATATTGTCTTAAATTGACATTTATTCGAAACCGAAAGCAAAAGTTTAACTATTTTATTCCTAAATTCACAATTTTTGGAGATTTTTTCAGAACAAAATATTTTTTCCTATGGTCTGTAGCATAACTGTTAGTGCTTTTTGGTTATGATAGTCCACATTGATCTAAGAAACCGGAGGCGAATTCTGCTACAATTTTTTTCTGCCAAGACACTTAAGTGATGAAAAACTGATTTCATTTCGTGCTAAAAAATCTTCGAGATTGATCTCGAAATGATTTAAATTTAGGTCAATTTTATACGAAATAATCTTTTTTAGCCCAGAGAAAACTGTGTTGTTTTTTTTTGTTTTTTTACTGTTAAAAACTGTATGTCAGCTAAAATTTTCGTGACAAGTTGATTCTCTTATAAACGCAATGAATCTAAGTCACTTCATTACTAAATACTTTTCACTAGAAAATCTACTCACTATAAAATGTTAAAATCACCTATATAAGGTGCCCCTTTTGGGTGTGATCAATCATGGCTTTTCACACCCTCCTATCCCTTGTAGCGCTTAGCAATGTTTGTTACTGACATAACATCCCACCTTCCTTTCCCCTCTCCATTCACATAAGCTCGTCAGGTTGGTGACCTGCTGTCTTTCCCTGTCCCTTTTAATATTGATAGGCCCTGCAAGTGTCGAATTCTCCAAGACCAACTTCCTTAAGTGTCTCTGAATTCTCATCTGGTTCTTTCTTATTCTAAAGTTCCTTTTTCATTAAGACTTCATTTTTTTACGTGTTCCGTCCATGATATTATCAGCATCGTACTACAGAGCCATATTGCTTTTTGCCTCCAGTTTTTTCTTCATCTGTAAGGAGATTGTCCAGCCTTCTCTTTCATATAGAACTATCGATATTATCTAACAGTTCTGCACTCCTTTCTTTGCTTCTAACGAATTTTTTTCTGTTTCTTAATACTTTGCTTAGCTTTTGGAATGCGACTTTTGCTATTCCAATTCGCATTCGGATTTTTGGGTCACGTTTTCATCCAAACAAAGTATTTTCAAAACACTTGCCAGATATTTAAGCTGCAACATTTGTTGTATTACCTCCTCTTAATTTTTGAAACTTCTCTTTGAGTCGTTCTCAGGACTATAAATACTCTGCAATAATTTGTTAACACTCTCTTCTCGTCTTATCCGCTTATTCGTCAACATGTAAACCTCTCTCGAAAACGCGTACTCTTTGGAACAATCCATATGTAGACACATACACACGTACGCGCATTCACTCACTGCACATAATTTGGACAAAATGGTTTTCACATTCATTTGTTAGACACATTATTGTAACCCTTTCTTGTTAATACATTATAATCTGTTGTATATATATATATATATATATATATATATATATATATATATATTGGTTCTTGTCGTTTCTTACATTTCTTTACGTGGCCTCATATCCCGAGTCTGGTAGGTTTTTTGTATTTTTTTGTGGGTATTTCAGGAGACACACGTGTTTATCTCTCAACGTATACATCGGTCCGCAACACATCAAACAACTACAGAAATTTAAATATGTGAGGATAGGGTCATAATTAAAAACAATAAAAATCAAGTCACTTAACACTTCAAGTATATTTGTGATTTAGAATACAATTTTTTTCCTATCCTACCATTAACTAAATAATATCAGTATATCTTTATGAACTGTTGGCGAAAGATTTCTTGGTTCACCGATTAAATAAAAAAAAATGAGAGAAAAGGCTGTTGCATGTTCAAGTAAAATTATAAATTTATTTAAACGTAGGATACAAAAATTTTAACTGTAATTACTTATGAAATGAAAGAAAGTTCTCTTTGTAAGGAAATGAACATGAATAGTCTTTCAGTGAGGAAGACGCCGAGGTTGATTCGTGTCTCTCTACTGCTTTCAGTCCTTCTGTCAAGTAAAATGAATGTTTCGGCTTTATGGTCCAGAATCGGGTGTTTATTTACTAGTGGGAGCTGATTTTATTAGCTATTTATGTTTATTAAATTGAAAATTTGAAGTATGTTTGAAATCCAGAAGATTGCGCGGAACCATTGCGCAGTGTGTTTAATTTTGTCAATCGCTCCTTTGATTTGATGTTGTTCACTTCCGCCTACTCTACAGAACCCTCACTAGTCCGATATGCATTTTTTTCTTTTGGGGGTGGATAAAAAATATATAATTACGTACAATTAAAATAAACCCTTAAATCCTTATTTACAATTAAAAAATTTATTTACAAAAACAAAACAAAATTGTTGTTAGTTTATGGAAAGCCACAACCTAACTGTGGCAGAAATAACATTGAATGAGTACAAACTAATGTGGATTAAAATAATTGAATCACTCTCCCATTAAATTACTCTAATAATTACGAAAAATAAACGAAATCGAAAGACATGTTGCAATTAATTGGAGGAGGGGCGAATAAATAAACTAAAAAAGGGACTGTATGTGCTTCATACTATATTTAGTTTTTAAAAAAATATTTTTGTTAGTAACTAAAATACAAAACAATGACGCTATCCTACTTAAGATATGGGTCAACATACGCTCAATGCAGAAGTTCAAAGTTTTCTTTCTTAGTCGACATCCAAGTACTCCAACAAATACGAAAAAAATGGCAAGAAATATTCTACAACGATAAATAAACAGACTTAGCCCGTAGGTAACTGTAAGACCAATTTTCATTGGTTAAATTCCAAAATAATTAAACCTATGTAAAATTAGTTCAAAGCTTCGGACCAAATTTGAAATTTGCAGATTTGACAGAAAAATACTGGGGGAGCTGAGTAGGAGGGGGTTGCTTTCCTTTTATCTGTAAACTTATTTTTTTCATGAAAAGCTACGACTCTAGTTTTATGACTAAAAAGGCCTTTTGCTTAACGTAATAAAAGCAGAAATGTTTGGAATGATATTATAAAATCTAATTAACTTATTTCTGCAAGCAAAACAACAACGAGTAAAAAGAAACTTTAAAGAGTCAATATCATTTCATTAGTTGTTCGTACAAACTGAAGTTTCTTTTGCTCTTATTGATATTACAGTAATTTGTCCAACTCCTTCTACCGTTTTCTTCATATGTAAAATCCTTTCCACATAAATCTCCGTAAATCTTTTCTTACGGATTGCACAGCTAAATACGCTTGTAGACCGAATCCATAGAAATGTTATAGAAGTAACAAAAGCAACATAAAGAATCAATTCAATAATCCAAACAACAAAAGAAAGAAAAACTTCATTCCGAGACAATTTTCTCAATAATGCAATGTAGACATTTTTTTTTTATTAAAGCGTGTTCTTCCTATGGTTTCAAAGATTTCATTCTACTTAATTTCCAATGCTTATGAGTGCAACTGAATCATTGTGAAGAAAACTAGTTATTATTCGACTTCGTTAAGTTTTCTACCTTTTCTGCTGAAGAAGTCTACTGTTGGTAGAACAGACGATATTATTTTACTATTACACCCGTTTTATCCTCGACTAATATTTTATGCTCTGCAAATTGTTAAATGGCCAATGACGGTTTATTAAGGAAGGAATTGAACATGCGCATTAGGTCAATAAGGAAGATGAGTGTAATAGTAAAAAAAATTACCAAAAAATGACGCTGAATAGAACACTGAAAAAATAATTGTATAACAGTACGGGTTGGATTTTATAAGCTATATATTTTGTCCATTGGAGAGTTTCTCACCCTAACAATTCATGAATGAAGAGGAAAATAAAATTTCTTCAAAACTCCTCATAGCAAAGAGAATGAAAATATCGCTCATTTCTCTGTTAGATCCAATCAAAGCTTTTATTTATTTTTAACTATTTTTCCCTTTCTAAAATATTAAAGCAAGCAAATTGATAATGTGTCTAAATTTTCATCTGACTGGAACATGGAAAGCCTATTTGTCAAAGCCATCGTAGAAAGAGATAGTCAATGATCTCATTGTCGGGCAAATACTGTTTGTAGTAAAATTCGCAAGGATTTTCAGTTTGGGTAATTATCATTCTTTATCTATGAGTTCTACATAAATATTTACCAGACTTGAACAGTGTGCTCAGGCATTTTGCAACAAAATGTTCCATACAGGTTAAATTCAAAAGGGATTACTATATAAACAGTGGAAATTGTGGTGTTTAATAATCAAATTTCTTTGACATTTGGCAGTACCTTGGACACACACACACACACACACATATATAGAGATAGATAGATAGATAGATAGATAGATAGATAGATAGATAGATAAATAAACCTAGTGAGCCAGACAAACCTACCGAGGTTACACCTAAACGGATGGTCAGGGAAAGCCGGCTTTCCCTGACCATCCGTTTAGGTGAAACCTAGGTAGGTCTTTCTGGCTCACTAGGTTTATCTAGGTCTGCTCTACGGTTGTATTGAGCTCTTTTGTTAGTTAGTTGTTTACTCGTATCGGGTTTTTTTCTTTGGGCTTCAGACCTGTATCTGTGCGATTTCTTTCGACAGACTTTCATGTTTGTAGCTCTTTCTTTTTTTTAAAACCTTTTTTTCCCTCGAGATTGATTTGATTATTGGCAAATCAAAAATTCGAGGGTTTTTCGAAACGAGTATAGTTATCTATCTATCTATCTATCTATCTATCTATATATATATATATATATATATATATATATATATATATATATATATATTGTGTGTGTGTGTGTGTGTGTGTGTGTTTAAACAATATTGGGCAAAAACGTATGATACATAGATCTTGTGTAAGGATTTCACATGCTCAATAATTTCGCTCGCTTATCCCAATGTATGTGTCTAGCCATTTATCTACTCGTGAAAATTACGCCCGTCACAACGATGTGATACTAATGGTGACTGGAAATGCTAATGTTTAACAGTCTTTTACTGTTTTATCTTGGAGAGTATTTCTTGAGACCTTGCCAGATTCTCTTTGTGCACCAATTCCATTTATAGAGACGATTATTCCAGACGGTATGCTGTAGCGCGCGTCCGTCTGTCGCTTCATACGCCGATAGGCATTGTGATTTCATTCTGTGGACATATTTACTACTCAAAGTATGTTGCCTATCGTTTAGAATTATGGCTTTTCTGTGCACTGTTTTGTTTCAATTGAATAGCCAAGATTAGATTCGTATTTTTATCATCTTTGTCCTCTATTGTCTATTTTTGTAGATTTCACTAAGTTTTCTTTTTTTAACTTATCTACTTTTTGATCTATGTTGAACAAAACTTCTGCTGTTTAAAATCTATTTTGTTGTTTACATTTTTTATTTTTTCTATTTTAGTTATTGTTCTTTATTTATTTATAGCTGATTCATTCGTTTTACATTCGATTGTTTTACTTTCTTCTTTATTGCCTCTTTTTTTCTTTCATATTTTCTCGTCTGCTTTCAAACATTTTTACTTTACCGTCTCTTACTTTTTACATCTCTTTTTCTTTCATTTTGTCCAGTCTTTTTTATCTTTTTCCTACCAATCTACCCGTTTCCTTATTCGCCTTTCTTTAGTTACCTTCGCACATAAACGTTATTATCCGTTCTATATTCTCAACTTTTGTTTTTTTCTTCTTCTTCATTTCACTCTTTCCCATTTTTTATGCTTCCTTTGTTTTTTCTCTTTCTTTTGCTTTTTTTTTTCATTCTTTACTCTGTTTTCTCTTATTTTTTTTCATCTTACAATTTATAATCACAGAGGTGTTTCGTTTCCCACCATAGGTTCTTTCCTGTTAACCGATATTTGTAAGTTCTCCTTATAAGGATCTGCCAGGTTTTGTTGTGCTTTTTCTATAAGATGACCGATGATGAAACAAGAATTTCAGTTTCATGCCTTTTGAATCGATATTAATCCCTCCTATGAGATTACTTTTAACTTCCGTTCTGAAAACCTTTGTACTTCTCTCTAACCCACCCACTACTCTCTTCACACACTCTCACATTATATATATATATATATATATATATATATATATATATATATAATATTTAAATTATCTACATTATCTACATCTATATTTACATTATTTAGTTATCATTGTTATGGCATGCTTTCTGGAAAGAAAAAAGAAGCAAAATATGAAAGGATAGTAAAATTTCGTTAGAAACAAAAATGTGTTGAATTTCTATGTTATATTTATCCTATACGCCAGTGAATTTTGGGCAGTTCTTTGTAGATGAAGAAGAGATGTAGTTCTACAGAAGAACGCTGAGAATACCTTGGACCGAACATGTGGGTAACAAAGAAGTTCTAAAAATCATGGGATCTAATCGAACACTTGTGCTTAAAATGAGAAAGTTGAGATTTCTGGGATATATCACGCGGGAAAAACAGTTTGGGAAATTTAACACTCACAGGATATTTTTGGCCAAGATGCGACAGAGGGAAACATTGAGAAACGTACATGAGGAGTTTGTGTGAATGGGTGGCGATGCAGAGACAAAAAAAGGGATGGTAAACAATCAAACACTGGTTAGAATTAAAAAGAAAAACATAAAACAGTACATTGCGGAGAGCCATCATAACACATGTGCTAAATGTACATGGTACATTAAAGATTCTCATTTGGCTTTCTCTTAAGCTTTCCTTCCTCATGTTTGTCTCGTTTTATCTTCGCTATCTATCTTTCATTTTATTTACCTTACTCTCCCTCGTCTTTTCCCGCTTTCCTTCTTCTCTTTAATTTATTTATTCACTTTATTGCTTTATTGCTTTATTTTTCCAGTTTCTCTAATTTTCCAACTTGTTACTATTGGTATAATCATGTTTTAAATGTTTTATCAATGTTGTTTTTTATTATTTGTTTAGCAAATATTCTCACTGAATTACTGCTAATACTATTACAACTTTTTTTACAAAATTGTTGATGTAGTTTTGTTTTAACGCTTTCTTCTCTTTTTCTTATCGAATCTCTCACTGAAAAGCGCACGTACATTACTTATTCATCAATATTTTGTTGTTTCTCAAGAAAGCTCTTGTAATGTTTAAATTAAAGTGAGTAATACTAATACAAAAATGTTAAATTGTTAATGTATGTGTAGGCGAGGAGAATGTCTGCCTTAAGGCTTTTTTTTTAACATTGGAGATGAGAAGTGGGTCAATGCGTAGTGTATCAAATGAACTTGTATTCAATCGATGTATCACACATAAATATACATCGAAAGAGTGGCCTTCTCAGACCCTAAACTAATTGCGTACTTTTATGAAAGATATTTGCGTGGTTTTCGTTACTTTCTCTACGATTTAGAATTTAGTATTCTTTTACTTACACTGGTTGCCCATCAAGATAAAAATAAGCCTGCCTACCATGTCATTTAACCCATAGCTGAAAGGAGAGAATAGATTAGTTCCTGCCTTCCTAAGTGTAAAGGAGATGTAACAGACAATGATGAAACTTGAACTCGACTTGCCGGCTGCATTTTTCGTGACTATAATCGTTGCACTTTCCACGTATCCTCTCCGACATTCGTAGTCACTATTCGATCCCAGGCAAAAGGTAACATTTTCAATGATGATATAAAGCATATACGAATTAAACTAATTATGTGCACGTGGCGTAATGGTTATCGACACAGAAAATCGACTAGGCATGCCGACTTTAAATTCCGGTTTGAAACATTGCATTCACTTTCGCACAAATAACCTTTCTTGCCCCTGTTATATACAGAGTCCGCCGAAAATTAGCCTTCTGGCATTAAAGTGCTCTATGCCAAAAAAATGACAGAGCATTTGAATATTAATTCAATAACTAGGTAGGCAATGACTGGCCACTACTTTAAGTTTCATGTGTTTGTACACAATCTTCCGGTAGCAAGTAATATTTACCGACATCCCCACGAGGTAGGATGTGACACAAGGCCGAATTTAATGTGGGGCATATCCGAACCTGTAAGTTCGGCCAAAAATTCCACGTAGAAAATTCTTTATAAATTTAACGTTTCGCTATTTAGTTTAGCTTTAAAAATGATTTCGCTTCCCCAAAATTTCTGATGAAGTTAAATTAAATAGCGAAACATGTTAACTTTCCCAATTGCTCTCTATTTACTCATACAGATAGGTAGATAAATATATTACTCTTCTCGTATTCGGATTCTTTTAATGAGTAAAATAATTCTTTCGTTAAAAATGTAAAGTTGAATTAAAGCCAATTTCTAAAGATATTCACTGCTTTGATTCAATAGTGTTTCTTTCTTTTAAACTTGATTTCAACAAATCCTAAAAGAAATCTATATATTTGATTCTAATATCTGGAGAATTTACCCAATAGGAATAGCTAAATGTCTTCTCTTACTGAATCAGCCGGAACACTGAACAGATTTGCGTGTTGGAATGTCACGATTGTAAACTTTAAGGGAAACATTAGTTAATTGCATTCGAAAATGTCACCTTTGATTTTGGCTGTACTGGTAAAAGGAAATAAGATTTTGGCAATTATTTCAGCAGAGAATTCCGGGTGAAAACGTGCGAGAACTATAAGCATCTTTTGGTCTAAAGATTGTTATATCGAAATATTAACATTTATTTCTTCCTCGCCTGTTCCCTGGATGTTCGACTAATGTGGCCTTGGTAAATATCTGGAGAATTTTGAAGAAAATGAATGAGTCTTTACGCATGTGAAATAGTTTACGAGAAATGAACTGGCCTGAACGAAACTGAAAAACAAGTGAGCCAGTTTCAAATAAATTTTAAGTTTATTTCGCTGCAGCCAATCAATTTTTCATTGGGTTTATGCCTAAGTTTTATTTTATTTATTTTTTTGTATCTGACAAGAAAACTTAGAGATAATCTTTCTTTCTTTCCATTTCGCCCAGGTCACCAAAGAAAAACTAATAAAAAGAAAAAAATCAACAACCACAAGAACAAAAGAAAAACGGATAGAAAAAAAAGGGAAAGGAAACAAACTAAGAAATATACAGTACTCTGTTTAAATTTACCAGGGCCGAGCAATTAGCCCTCTCAGCATCACGTCTCAAAAAGATACATAATTCGGGCAGCTACTCTAGTTTCACGCTACTGAGATCGTCAGGCGACGTATATATATATATATATATATATATATATCGTTAAAAATGGACATTTTCATATAATATATACGAATATATTAAAATAATCGGGAAGAACAAAGAAAAGAAAAAAATTACTTGCCATTAAGTGGTGAATCTAAAAATGTAACATAAGCAATAAAACATGGTTTTACTGATTGCGAACATAAGATTTGTCTTCGATTAAGCTCTGAAGAGCGAGGAGCGATAACCGTTTAACTTCTTTGTTGTTGTTTTTTTTTATATTTTTCGATTCGTCACTTTACTGGATTTTTTTTCTTTTCTATGCTCTTCCTAGCCTTATTTTAATATTTGTATATATTATGAGAATATTTTCTCTTATAAAATGTCCGTTTTTAAGTCCAAAATAAAACTTTCTTCCCCACCTCACAAATTATATAGTAAATAACCAATTAATCTTGAACAGTGATTAACGTGCTAAGCTAGCAATGTGGTTCTCACGTGTTCACGCCTTATCCCTTTTGGGGCAGTGAACATTTTCCAAAACACACAGCCACAATTATTTATGGTCTATTCTGTAGAATTATCTTTAAGTCTTCTATACATTCATATTTGCCCAAACGAACTCAGATTTTACAAGTCAATGAACACAAAAGAAACCAAGAACATAGTTTCTGTCTGGATTTTTGGGATGAGGAGTTATCATTGTTTACACTCTTTACATTTTCGACAAGAATGTATGAAAACGTTGATTCGTGAATTTGGTGACAGTAATTGTGTATTAAATCTCTGGGCCGGGCAGTGTGTACATGTAAGCAGTGGAAACAGAAAGCAATAAATGCACAGTACTATAAATAAGAACTAGAGGGGATATCCTTAGACAAGGTCAGTGGACCAAGAACAGTCTACTCCCATAGATTAAATGAAGGGTAATATGATAACAATAACAACTAAGATAAAGACAATAGTCAGAATGTAAATAAAGAACATAGAACAAATACTAACTAATGAAGTATGTGTCTTGTCATAGGATCATTTCTGATCTAAAACTGGTCGTTACTAATAACTCTTATACTTTATGCAAGTGAGTGAGATAACTATATTAATACCGTGAGTGCGCCAACACAGCCTTTGCTTGGTTTCTAAGATAACTATGTAGTCAGCAATGCTAAGATATCGGTGTTCGAGTCCAGGTATACTGCTGATTACCAAATCAAACACTTTCTCCACTTCGAATGTTCTTCTCCTGAATATAACTCAGTATCAAACGATGCTAAACTTAATCAATATCTATATCTATCGATGAGAATGTGTGTGATTTTTGTGTACAAACTATTGGTGATATCTTTGAACCTGTGCGCTAAAGTCTACCTGGTTACATCAATAAGTCCTTAGCCTAAAGATTAATACGCATTTTTACTAGTGTTGACTATTAAAGACATAGATCGAAAAATACACTGAAGATTTCAGATCACTATGTAACTGATAACGTGTCAGGGTATGAACTTCTTGATCCAACCTTGTATAAGCAAACAAACTGAAAACTTTAACTTCAAAGTTTGGAATCGTTCGAGGATAACAGGTTGATTAAATGCTGAATTTGATTTCATATTGTTTTCACTTTCAACTGTACAATTCCTGCTGTCTATAGAAATGAAGGAAAGAGTTAAAAGTAAGTAATATCGGAGTGTCGTCTACGTCCATCATGACTAAGATACTGATTTTCATCATTTCAATAACAGTAATTGTCAGTATTTAAAGTGAATATTGTGGCAGATTTCCTCCAAAGCTCCGAAACAAATCTGATATAAGTCGGAAGAATAAGTAATTGTGTGAAACGCTCTCTTTTTGCCGTCTTCAAAGAGGCCTATCATCCACCAGTTCGAGTGAACAATGAATTCCTTCCTTTGTACCGATGAATTGCTTTATCCAGGAAAGTTACATAAATCCATTGGTTTCGATAAAATATCAGCAAGATGTGAAGATGCGTAAATGTCAGAGATTTTTGAATATCTTCCTGCGTGCACACTGCAGATTGCTTTCAAACAAGCATACGCTGATATTATTATAATACATTTACGTATATATATATATATATATATATATATATATATATATATATATATAATCCCTGTGTGTGCATTTGGTAGCAATCACTCTTTTATACAAGTTTCGTTGAAAACTACTGGCAAGGCACTTGCCATTGAATGGAATCTTCTATTAGATTTATTTAGATTGTTCTAGTTCCATGTACCATGCCTCTTCCCGATATTTCAGTTATTTCCCTTTAATTCAACTCTGCAAACTTTTGATAACCTCTACTTTTGCACGTGATATATATATATATATATATATATATATATATATATATATATATATATATATACGGAAAATTAATGACAAAGTTGTAAACATTTTCATGTAATCCTTTGACTTCATCGGACTAAAGTGATAATTATACTGATGTGACTATACATCCGCACAAAGGAAAAAGGACGCTAAAATTTTTATATTTAATTATATTTAATGTGTTTTAATATAAAGTCAAGCCAATTTAATTTAGTTTATATTTCTTTTTTTTTATATGTTTATCACTTTTGTCATTAAGTATCACACATAATAGAGTATAAAATTGTATATAAAAATTCTTAAATTATTTTCTCATATATATATATATATATATATATATATATAAGATTTTTGGGGAAACATTTTTGTTGC